GGACGTGTGCAGAGGCCGGCGTGACCAAGGGCGTCCATCGCCAAGAGCCGCGGGGCCCTGGGTCTCGCCTCTTTCCTGGGCCGGGGCATTTCCGTGGGCGGGGAGGGGGCAAGGCAAGGTGGAAAGACGGGCTGCCGCTGCCAGCCCCCAACTACACAGGAAGACCAGACTTGAGGGCACTGCCCGGGTGCCTGAAGTGGACCTTGCCCAGGGAAGGACCCTCCCCCCACACCCACTTTATTTGGGCTTTAAAGCCATGAAGGCCCCTGCCCTCTTTCCATCAAAGCCCCTACGCTGGGCGTTCCTGGGGCATCCAGGGGTTTTGAGGCTTAACAGGATTGGGAAAGTCATGTCCGAAGTGTCCCTTGGTCCAGCATAGACTCTTTCTAGCTCTTTTCCTGCTCAGCCTTGGCACATCCCAGGAGAAGCTCAGGGGCTGTCACCACACACCCAGACGCCCTCTTCTCGTTGGGACATTCTCCTTTCACCCCGCTCCCCACTCTGCTTCCTCCAGGGAAGAAATGTGCACGTGAACCCCCCTGGTCCCTAGTCTTTCTACTCCACGCCCACTTACTTCCTCCAGCCCCTCCTGGCTTAACCTCCAGAACCAGCCCAGCATTCTCTTCCCTTCCTCTCTCAAGCTTGGAAGGTCATGCTGATCTTTGCACACCCTCTGAGCCTCAGGAGCAGCTGGGGTGGAAGGGGAGGCTTTTTGTAATGGGGAGAAGGCGGGGAGCGAAAAGGCAGCGGCTGGGCAGGAGAGTAGCCCCTGCCAGCCCCTGTCCTTCCAGGTGATGGCATGAGAGGTGCTGCAGGCCTTGGCCAGGCCAGGAAGGTCACCGACTGCAGGAATAGCCCCCCAAGCCCTGGCTGTCCAGGCTCCTCCAGACAGCTGTGCTGAGTGCGGACATTCTTGCCTTGGGGCCTTTGCAGCTTTTCCATCAATGACTGGCTTACTGCTGGTTGATGTGGTTGCCAAAACTGTTGGCATTTTAAGGGAGTGTTTTTTTACCTTTAAAATTAACTCAAAGGAGTTAAAATTACTGGCTTATACTCCCCCCCCCCCCCCTGAACAAGCTCCTGCCGTTTTCTTGTTGAGATATTTGGAAGTGGCTGCCTTGCCGTCATCCCAGGGTGGAGAGGGAGTACCTAGCCCCAGGTCACCCAGCTGGCTTTGTGCCAACTCAGCGTTCCCGGCTCCTACACCAGTGCCTTACCCACTTCCAAAGCAACTCTCATTTTGCACTGACCCTCATTTATGTTACTCCCTTCACTTTTACCTGCAGGTTTACTGTTATATTTGCTTGGTGCTGGTTAACAGCTATAAAAAAGACAGAGGTGAACCTGTGAATGCCTCAGGACACGGGGGTTCCTGAGCTCCTGATAGCAGTCAAGGCCCAAAGTCCTCACTGGGGATGAGGCCCCAGCCTGTGGGGCCCTTGCCTGCTATCAAGGCATCCCAAGGCCCATGGTGCAGCATAGATCATCCGCCTCCAAGCCTTGGCATCTCTGCAGAGGAGAATGGAAATCTGGAGAGCTGCTGCCAGAAGATTAGCCAAACAAAAATCAAGGTGAAGCACAGTCACCAGAGGTTCCAGTCCCCCCAACTCTTGGGACCACCAGAAGTACCCCAGAGCTGGAGCTGGCCAAAGGTGCACCAAGGGCTGCCCTTTCTGTTCCCAGAGTGGTCAAAGGCCTGCTGCAAAGGGTGGCCCACAAGCACGATGTGAGGACACCAAGTGCACCCTGCGGCTTGTGCCACGCCAAGAAATGTGCACATCCATTGTCCAGAGGAGGGTTAAGAGAGAAGGGAGAGCCCAAGGGGGTGGAGCAGATGAAGGGGGGCTGTCCCTTTAAGGGGGCTGGCAGCCAACCCAAGAGCCCTTTTCTTTGCTGGAGGACAGGACAAGAGAGTCACAGAGGGAAGGAGAGAAAGCAGAGGGCCAGCACAGAAGGGTTCTTCCAGCTGAGCAGCGCAGGAAAAGACCAAGGGTATCTGGACTCGCATCCCAAAGCCATGGGTAAGTTGACAAATCCAAGGGAACGTCTAATCCTTTTTGCCTTGATTCAAATGCAGTTGGCGTTTTGCTCCACTGTGGAGAAGTATCTGGGTTCTTTTCACCATAACTGCCCTTCAAGAAATAGTGCTGGGCTGAAGGGGTTTTTTTGCCCTTTCTTCCAGGCACCTGGGGTTTTAAATTTACTTACTGAATTTAGGCACAATAAGCACGCAGAGAATGGTTTGTCCTGCCATTTTATCCTCACAAAACTTCTTGAGGAAAGCCTGGCGGTGACTGGCAAACCAACTAGGAAATTTCACGGCTGTGGAGATTTCTCCCGCATCTCCCCTGAGCTCTGCAGGGGGGCTGCAGGGTCCTTTGGCCCTGCGGGAAGGGGTCTTTGCCACTGTTGTTGTTGTTTAGTCGTTAAGTCGTGTCCGACTCTTCATGACCCCATGAACCATATTGCGCCAGGCCTTCCTGTCC